ATAACATGTCCGAGGTATGTAAAATGAGCTCTCGCCAGCTTTGCTTCTAAAGAGCATTTTAATTACACTTCTTCCAAGATAGAGAAGTTTGTTCTTTTCACAGTCCATAGTGTATTCTGTATTTTTCAGCAACACAATTCAAATGCATCAGTTCTTCTTCAGTCTTCCTTATTCATTGTCCACCTTTTGCATACATATAAGGCAATTGAACATACTATGAGTTGGATCTTAGGCATACCTTAGTCCTCAAAATGACATCCTCGCTCTTCAGTTCTTTAAAGAACTCCTTGGCAGAAGATATTTCTGGTATAGATTTGCTATGTCACTTATTTCTTGACTGCTGCTTCCATGGGTTTGATTGTGGAGCCAACTAAAATGAAATCTTTTGACAACTTTAGTCGTTCTTCTGTTTTAACATCTCCTAGTTCAGAACCCAAATTTGGCTTTTGAACTCCAGTGTCATTACTTTTCCCCATTACATCTCAGCCCTAAAGGAGACTGACAGGGTAGGTGTTGGGCTGCTAACTGAAAAGTCAGCAGTTTGAATCTTATAGCCACCCCATGGGAGAAAGATCAAGCACGTGACTCCTCTGAAGATTTTCAGACTTAGGATATGTAACAAGTTGGGATGCTTGTCAAAAGATTTACAGCCTTAGACACCTGATAAAAGGTCACATGTGTCGAAATTGACTTGTCACAGTGTTTGGAGTTTTTTTCCATTTTAACCCTAAGAAGATGCAAAGAATGGTGCTCAGCCAAGTCGCTTTGTTATTGTTGGTTCTGTTAGGTGCTATCAAGTCAACTACGACTTATAGTAACCCTGTGAACAACAGAGCTAAACCTTGTCCTGTCCAGCGCCATCTTCACCAAATCTGAACTGAATGCCATTGTTCCAGTCCCTTTGCCAGTCCATCTTGTTGAGGGTCTTCCTCTCTTTCTCTGACCCACTATCTTTCACAGCATGATATCAGGTAGTTTGGCAGGGCTTAAAAGCTGCCAAGCTTGGTGTTCTCACAGAAGAACACCAAGACTTGCCTCCTGTTAATACCTTTTTGATTGTTGGTGTCATTTCCTTCATATTTAAGTGTAGCTTCATAAAACGTCTCTGAATTTGGCAGGGGGATTATGACCATCAGTGGACTGACTTATGAAGAGAAGGAAACTTGGTGAGATGATACATTTCTCCAGGGTCTTAGACGTAGGCAGCAGAGCTGGGACTATTTCCCTGCTTTCTAGACTCTAACTGAGGCAGAGAACATCTGCTTTATTCATTGAGAGGATAGAAAATTTAGACATGTCCCTTCTTCTAGCAGTCTTTCCTGACAAGAATTTTCTGCTTGGCTCAAGTCCTAGGGAACAAGGGCTTGCTGGATCGCTGTCTCTTCCTTGGTAGCCAGCACGGAGCCTGGCAGAGTGGAGATGTGCACATGTTTGTTGAATAAATGAATAAAGGGGTGCCTAAAGCCAGCCTGGCCTAATTATCCAGGTCATCCTGTTTGGTCATATCTTAGAATCCTGGGCATTGGCCAACCTGCTACCAGCTTGACCAGAGCACCTTGTTCGATCAGAGCAGTTCAGATGGAGGTCAGCACTAACCACTGTGTATTGAATACCTGCTATATGCTAAGGCTGGATTCTCCCTGCAAATTAGAAAGTTGTTAGTGTTGGTGTTCTATAACATAGAGTTGGAACCAACTCACAGCTGACCCTCTAGTGGGTTTTCAGAGGCAGTAAATAGCACGGGAGGAGACGGCCCTTTTTTCTCCACAGGAGCAGCTGATGGGTTCAGACTACAAGCTTTTGGGTTAGCAGTGCAACTCCTTACCACTAAGCCACCAGAACTCCTTAAATTAAAGACTGTTGTCCTTATTTTATAGGTGTGAACACTAAGACCCCAGAGAATTGATTTACTCAGGCTAACGAGCCAGGGCAGAATTTGAATCCAGGCCTAACTTAGTCCACAGTCCTTTATTAGTGCTTTTCTTTTTATTATGCTACACTGAGCCCTGGTGGCATGGTAGGTTGAGTGTTGGGCTGCTGATTGAAGAGTCAGCAATTTGGATCCACCAGCCATTCCCTGAGAGAAAGATGAGTGATCTTTGTCTTCTCGTAAAGGTCTTCAGCTTCAGAAATCTGATGGAGGGTCTCTATGAGGTGGAATCGACTCAGCAACAGTGGACTGGGAGCCCTCTAAGTAAAGGAAAATGAAACACCTGCGTCTTCTATCCTCGGCCCTGCCTCCCAGGTGGGGCTGCTTTCAGAATTCTTAGGCCCACACAGAGGAGTGTGAGTCACTCACCACTGGAGGCTTGAAGGGTTTTTCCTCCACTGAATTTTCATCTCTCCTGGTTCTTATAGCAGCCTCCTGATTGGTAGTCTTGTTCTCCTTTTTTACTCTGCTCCCCTTTCAAATTCAGCCTTCTTAAGCTATTACATTAATATCATAATTTACTTTTCCTCAAAGTTGTCAAAGGCAACCCCACTGCCTGTGGTAAAAATTTAAGGAAGGTGAAACAGGTTTCCTCTGTTATCCCCTTCGGCTGATTGAATCAACTGAGTCAAGTGGCAGACTGGAAGCTCTGCTAAGGAAGATGCTGAGGCTCTTTCAGAAGCTCCACAAGAAGAAAAAGCTGCTTGGGAAGATTTGAGATATCTGCCTTTGAAGAAGTAGTGCAGAGTAGAGGTTTTACATACATGTAAAAAAAATGTGTAGACATATAAATACGTATTTGTTTGTAGGAGTTTTTTAAATGTATACTTCTTAAGCACTTTTCTGTAGACAGTCAGTAGCTTTGATCATATTCTTAAAAAGGGCCCATGACCATTTTGTTGGCCTCCCAGCCTGGCATTTAAGTCCCCAAGTGGCCCTTACTAACTTGTTTCTCTGCTATGAACTGTCACCTGGATGGAGCTACTTGATGGCCTCTGAATATCCATTGCTCTTCCTTCCTTCCTTCAGGACCTTACCTTGCTCTTTATGCCTTGATTAGCATGTTTTCCTCCTCTTCTCTCACATCTTTCAAGGTTTCACTCAAGTCTTTTGCCTCAAAGGAATAGATTCACCCTGATTTTATAATCCCTGATTGTCTTTTGTTAGGTGCCATCAAGTCGACTACAACGCATAGCAGCCCCAGGAACAACAGATCTGCACCTTATCTGCACTGTCTCTGCCCATAGTTGTAGTCACTCTGTTAACCCATCTTGTTGAGAACTGTCCTTTCTTTTGCTGACCCTCTACCTTCTCCGGCATGATGTCTTTTTTCAAAGTCTGGACCCATCTGAAAACATGTCAATATGTGAGATGAAGTCTCACCATCCTTGCTTCTAAGGAGCAGACTGGTTGCACTTCTCTAAGATAGATTTGTTTGTTCTTTTGGCAGTCCATGGGATATTCAGTACTCTTCACCAGCCCCACAAGTCAAAGGCATTGATTCTTCGTTATTCATTGTCCAAGTTTGAGATTCCTAGGAAGCAATTGAAAATACCATGTATCTATCAGGTGTGTCTCAGTCTTTAAACAGATATCCTTACCCATTACTGGTTTTTAATCCTTCTGAACTAAAGATCAGAGAAGTGAGATCATTCCATTGAAATCAGCAGATAGTACTCCAGTATCTTTACCTCTTGGAATCAGGAGTTCGCCATTGCACTATGTGACTTGCTAACTTAGGAAGGAAGCTTTCACCAAAAAACCAACTTCTGTCTCAGATAAAATTCTTCCTCAGTTTTCTAACTTTTTTAACCCTCTTGGCCATAGCAAGTTACTTTTGCATAAAGTAAATTTACCAGTGTATATGGTCAAGAGGGCCCAGGTCTTTCACCAGAATCAATTCTCAGTAAGAAATAAGGTTTCTCAACCTTTTCTCAGCACTCTGCTTATAACATTCTATGCTTCAGCTATGCCAGACCTCTCTCAGGGCCTCATATAACCCAGGCTTTTGTCCCCTCTGGATGAAGAGTCTTTACCTCTGCCTGCAATACCCCTACCTCTTCCTCTTTTTCATCTGGCTCATTCCTGTTTTTCATCACTTTCTCAGACTGTCGGTTCCCTTATCACAGTACTAGTCAGATATGTAATTGTGTATGTTGTGGTCTCCTCAGCATCACTGTAAAAGGCACATAGACATCTCGGCTGAATAAACAAAAACATATGCTTGTCTCTACATCCTCCTATACCTTAGTTACCTGCTTACTTCAGCAGCACAGAAATTTCATTTGTCTTGAGTCAGAGAAGCTTTTACTACAGAGTGTGACAGAAGAGTGGTGCTGGGACTGAAGCGCAAATATTCATCCCCTCCTTTACCCAATGCCACTTTGCTAGAGCCTTCTGAAAAATAGACATCCTTCTGGTCACAAGCAGTAAGTCCAGCAGTGCCCTAAACACCCCAACCCTGTCCTCATAAGTAGATCCTGCCGTAGGAAATTGTTCCTTCCTCCTCCTCTTCCTTCTCCTTCTCCTCTTCCTCCTCCTCCTCATTCTCTTCCTCCTCCTCTTTCTCCTCCTTCCTCACTTCCTCCTCCTTCCTCCTTCTCCTTCCTCTTCCTCCTCCTTCACCTCCTGCAGTACTTATGGTCAGAAACCACCCCCTGTAGGCTATATTTCATGCTGTCCTCTGTTATCCTTTCACTGTTGCATGTCTAAGTCCTGACTCAACAACTAAATTGTAGGCTTTTCCAGTTCACCTCTCATGTTTTCTTTTCCCTTGCCACCATCACTTCCCATTCATTACCTAGCAAAAGACAAGATATATACCATACTGATCTACTGAAGTAGATTTTGGTGGTGGTGGTTATTGTTGTTTTGGTTTTGTTTTTTTTTTTTTGTAAGTGAATTTTTATTGGGAAGGGAAGTTGTCAACTTAAACAGCAGCAAATGAAGAGTGAATAGGAAACTCCCTTTTATCACAAATATACATGACCTCCATAATATATTATCTAGGAGGCACTTCAATGTGTGACCCCAATGACCCCCAAGCCAGAAATGTTGAATGTCTTTCCATTCAATCTAATACTTCTGGATTCCCACTAAAAAGGAATACATTAAGAGCATGAAAAATTGCTTACTGAAAGGAAGCCCCAAACAAGAGTAAGGGAAGGAATGTAGAAATTAAGAAGTTATGCAGAACACTCTTTTAATTGTAATTAACTTACATTTTCATATCTTCACAGTAATACAAAACACAGTCACTTGTAGAACTGGTTCAGATTACTTAAATACCAGATACCAGATAGTCTTCTACATAAGTGTTTGGAAGTTACTTATGTTTATATGAAATGAAGCTATTAATACTTTTCTACAGCAGTAACTGCACACCAGGAAGGCCAAGACAAACACAAATCAAGGAATGGAGTTTTCCCAAAGCTGCAGTATGAAAAGACTATAAACAGTTGATTCCATACACATGAATGGGTTTCTTTGCTATAGGAAATCCAAGTGGAATAAGGAATGGAGATGTGTAAAAAGGTTTCTTGAGGGGGAGAAGGATGACACCCTGTGAGCATTTAGTTTTCTGCCCCTTCTGCTGTATCACATTCTTCTCCTGCACTGTCTGATGTCCATAATGTTAAGTTGTCCCTAAGCAACTGCATGATAAGGGTGCTGTCTTTGTATGAATCTTCATTCAGTGT